AGGTATGTGAAATAACACCTCGGCCGGTATCTGTCCCCAAACTCTGCTTTGTTTTCCTTTCAGAAATGATCACACCCACCCCTGACATCATAGTATGCATCTACTTGTCTATTACTTGTCTCTCTAGACTATTAGCTCTTCGTTAGACTCTCTGTCCCTTGAGGACAGAGACTGGTTTGATTCACTGCTGTAGCTGTAGTATTTTGAATAATGCCTGCCACATAATAGGTCCTCAATAAATGTGTGTTGAGTGAATGAATGAATGAATGAATCTTCAGAAAAACTGAAGACGACGGAAGTTATCTCAGACTTTAAGACACCGAGCCTGCAACATGCTACAGAATTTAGTAGCCTCGGAATTCTATGAACAGAGATTCACCTGGAGGAGACAAGACGGTGGATCGTTGGAATCTTTCACGAGTGGCGCGATCACTGAATGCTCCTCAGTGTGTGATTATCTTGTCGGAGACTTCCAAAAAGGCTCTATGGCAAAGGCCAGGATGCACACAGTAAGACTGACTAGCCCGTCCCTGGCTGGGTGGCTCAGTTGGTTGGAGAGTCATCACATATACCAAAAAGGTTGTGGGTTCAATTCCCAGTCAAGGCACATACCTAGGTCGAGGGTTCGATTCCTGGTCAGGGCGTGTATGGGAGACAACCAATCAATGTCTCTCTTTCTCTCTTAAAAATCAAAACGTATCCTTGGGTGAGGATTAAAAAATAATAATGATAATGTTCCTGCCTTTGTTAAACACGTATTCTGTCTGCCAGGCCAGCACAGACTAAGAAGGTTAGGGCCCCTGGGCTAGAGTCAGAAATTAGGGCTTTGATTTCTGGTTCCGCAACTTCCTCCACTTCTTGAGCCTCTGCTCTCTCGTCTGTAAAATGGGGCTAGTAATAGTACGTGCAGAGTCCTCGCCAGACGGACTGAGCTGACCCATGATGCAAGCGCTCGTGTCGTGGGAGATATGATTCCTTTGTGTCTGATTACATGACCGAACCCACCCCCACCAGAAAGCCTTTCCTTTTGACCCCTCTTTTCAGTTAGAACAACTCGCCTCTTGAGCTTCTGGGTGAAAATCTCTGCTAGTGGAGTTGCACCAGTTGGCTTCAGATGGTGCTGTTACTCCGTTTGCATTTTCCCACCTGGCAGGGAGGATTCGCCAGTGCAGGTCTCTCTGTGCTGCTCTGCACAGGGAGCTGCTGAAAAAGAAGTGACTCAAGAAGAAATCGAGTCTCACCTTCCCCCCCAGAGCTGACCTGTCCCTCCCTGCCTGACCCTACTGCCACACTCCCGTCAGCCAGCGTGGGCACTCAGTCCCCGGCGCCCCCTGCCTTACTTGCCTGCAGCACTAACCACAGCTGAACGTCACTTGCCTGTTCACAGACTGATTTCAGGGTTTCCGGCCCAGTAAGCAGCATGAGACAGTCGGGAGGTGAGACCGGAACGATGTCCATAGGGTGACTGCAGAGTGAAGAGAGTGCTGTGTGGACAGGAGCCTCGAGGGGCAAGCAAGGGCCGCTGGCAGCCACGTGAAGGCTTGGCTCACCCCTGAGAACAGAATGGACTTGCCCTGGCTGGTCTGGCTCAGCGGTTAGAGCATCAGCCCATGGACCAGAGAGCCCCGGGTTCGGTTCCCGCTAAGGGCACGTACCTTGGTTGCAGTTTGTCCCCTACCCCGTTGGGGTCGTGTGGGTGGCAGCTACTTGATGTGTCCCTTTCACATTGATGTTTCTCTCTGTCTCTTCTTCCCTCTCTCCCTCCTGCTCTATTGGAAGATAAATGCAAAAATGTCCTTGGGTGAAGATAAAAAAAAAACAGAATTGACTTGTCCCAAGGCAGGAAAACAGGGAGCGCACATGCTCCTGCATACCATCCCCTCTGCTGAGCGCCTCACTTCATTCAGTAGACGTTCTCTCGCTCAGAGTAAGCTGCACGGAGTATCGGTTGCCCTGTGTTGTAAATATCGATCTATCCTTCCTCCGACTGAGGTGAGCCTACTGCACACTTCCTTTCAAGCGAGGCCAGCAATGAAAAACCAGTCACTGCATATGTTGTATTTCGAGTCACAGAAAAGAAGTTTAAGCTTCAGGCAAGCCCATTTACACCCTGCCCTCTCTCAGATCTTATAAATTAAAGCCGGGCATCAACGAGAGGAGTTATTATCGATTCTCTTTGTAAGGTAAGAACTGTGTCAGCACGTGTACATTTTTAAGACGTAAAGGAGAAAAAGTAAAAGTCTGATTCGTCAGTAAATGACATGCCTCTTGAGAGCAAGACCTGTCTTTACATGTGTGTTCCTGCAACCACCGCGAGGGGATACGTCTATCTTCATGCTTTCTGTGCCTTCCAAGAGACTCTTGACATGTAAAAGGAAAGTCTGAAATTAAGGAAAGGCTAAAAAAAATATCTGCCTTTAAGGTTTTTAAGTCATACAAAAAAAAAAAAAAAATCAAATGCTCTTAAAAGAAGGTTAAAAAAGAACTTAATCCATGAATTCGCACATTGAGTCAAGTTAAAGGCTTTCTGTGGGACTAAGCTGACCAGAAAGAAATAACTTGGGTTTTTTTCAGCCTGAGCAGAGGTGGAAGAAGGAGGACTGTGGGCTGCAGATCAAACAACATGAGGACCGGGATGGCCTCTATCCGGTTCCCCAAAAGCCATCTGCCTGCTCTTACCTTAAAGGTTCTGAAAGGCCTTCTGAGACTAGCTGAACAACTGAAATCCTGTTCCTTCCTAGAGAAAACTTGTTTATACTGTATCTGTTTTTAGACCTCATAAAAGTGGGTGAACTCGGTCCTTCCCCATTAGCTCGAATTCCTCCACACTCAGCAAATATCAACAGGAAAGGGCTTCGGTCATTGATAACAATGAAGGCAGGAAGCTCACGCCAGCCCCTCATGAGCTGGCTGCCCTGGCAGGGAGGCGACATCTCCAGCTCATGTGCAGAGAGCAAGGGGTTTGAAACGAGGGGGAAGATGCTGAAATGTAGGTAAATGTATTCCGACAGTGACACACAAGAGCATCATGTCCCCCACGACTCACACGGGTCTTAAAGGATTCATTTTGGAACTGTCAAAGCTTTCAAATAGAAAACTAGTCTCAGCGGCTGAAACCTGGTTAAACAAATTTCACTGTGCAAGGAAAAACCAAGTTACTTTTGAAAGTGCTGTGGGGGAAGAAATCTCAGGCAGGAAGCTAGAAAACAACAGTGTCAGCCAGACAGGAAGTGCCATCCCCTGCAGGGACCAGGGAACAGGTACAGCAAGGGGCTCGGGGAGGGGGTGACCTGGACCCGTCCTGGGAAACTGGCTAAGAATGTTCTAAACAGGATGAAGAACCAGAGCCACCCGGTGTGTCAACCAAATCCTCAACCAAGTCCACCTTGGGCAAAATGTGGGGTAGACTGGCCCAGTGATCAAAGCTGTGGCCATTGAAGCAACATAATAAATAATGATGCTATCAGATACCCACAGACGAAAATAAATCTCCACAACTCCATACCGTATCAGCACATAACTAAATAAGTAACGGCATGGTGAAAGGGAGTGTAGCTATTCCTTACAGTAGAATATCTGTAATAGATGTAGGAGGAATAAGGAAAATAGAGAATCGCTGTTAGAGCAACACTGCAGTAATAATTGTTGCAGGCATGCACTACACATGGATCCTGTAATTAGCAGGTGGAATTACGATAAGAAACAGGTCTAGTACACTTGCTATGCATGTGTGTAGTATCTTTACAAACAGGTCAAAGTACCTTCCGACAAGATAAGCATTAACTACAAATGGAAAAAAACAGTTACTTGAAAGGGGAGACACCTGGTAGACACCACCTTCGCAGAGCCATCAAGCTGAACCAGCCCCGATACGAGTCCCCGAGAGGGGCACCATGTCATGTCTGTGGTATTCTTGCCCCAAACAATCTCAATCGAATCACGAGAAAACATCAGAGAAACCCAAAGCGAGACCATCTATAAAATAACTGATCTAAATTCTTTGTAAGTGCCGAGGTCTTAAAAGACAAAAGTAGACTGAGACCTGTCCCAAGATGAAGGACACTAAGGAGGCAGCGATGGTAAAAGTAACGGTGGATCCCGGGTTAGATTCTGCTCCAGACAAGGACATTGCTGGGCACTTAGAAATTTGAATAAATTCTATAGATAAAGAATGTTGTACCAATGTTAACGTCCTGTCTTGACTATTTCTGCAACTATTCTGTTAAGTCTAAAAGTATTACAAAACAAAGAGTTAAAAATAAAACTGGGGTTCGCTTGGCTAGACTAAGCAATCAGCCAGGACCGTGTTGAGATGTCTAAGATGGGACTCAGGCCCTGGTGACAACCACTGAGAAGAGAGTCAGGGAAGGTCAAAGTACTGTAAACCTCAGTCATTCTCACGTTCAGGAAGATCAGGGAACAATACTCGCGAAAACAATGGCATCCCGCTGCACCCCTAAAGAATGTTGCCTTCCTCAATAACTGGCCCAGTTTTTTAAAACCTAGACAAATACATTGAACCATTCTACTTGTTTTGCCCAACAAAGAAAAGGCATGTCTATAAAAGTAAATTTTGAGTCAAATCCATCTCCTAGATCTTATAATTCTGAAAAAAGAAAAAACACCTTAAAATAAAATTTTTAAAAAATCAGATACTTTTCTGAATATTATCCACTTGATCAGTAAAAAGAATTCTTATATTATTAGTATTCATGACGTGCCAGATATTTAAATATGTGTGGAGAGCAATGTCAAGAGCAAGAAGTAATTATACGCTAAGAAAGGAGATAAAAAGCTTTCTGCTCCAAACACGGGCTTTTAGCTTAAAGACTTGGGCTTTTTGTCATAATTCCAAATCGTACTGGGATGGCTACGTATTACCCGATCTCAGCTCGCTCTCCTCGTGGGGCTGACTCACCGGCAACCCTGGGATCACATCTGAAGCAAATAACAGGACATCACGTCGAAGGCCCATCCACCAGGACGGGGTCCATACGTACCTCCCACTGCATTGCAGCGAGACGTCATTTCCCAGAGCACCAGAGCCATGGAGTAGACGTCTGTCTGCTTGAAGGACTCGACGTTCTCCAGGTTCATCCTGGACTCGAGCACTTCGGGCGCCATGTATCTTGCAGTTCCCACCTAAAGCACAGACAGACAGTGAGGCCCATCATTCGTTCCAGCTGCATTTTTATGTTCGAAGTAACAGCCGATGTTTGTCCCCTACGTGGGTAGATCATCTCCGAAAAGTGCAACGCTTTTAAAAACAATGCAACCTGCACAGAAAGGTAGCGCTTATGCACTTATTGTTTGTTTTGTTTGTTATGGGCTGGGGTGCCCACATTTGTACGTAGGGACTCTCTCCAGATGTGGGTCTGAGCCATCACGTTCCAGAGCAGAAGATTCCAGATCCAACCTGACCTGCCTGGTCGTTACCAAGGCATGTGTGTCAAGGTAGAAGGAAGAAGACATATTATTTGTTTTACAACTTATAAATAGAAACAAAATTTTACAATTTATATAGGGGCCTCCATTTATACTCTTTCTTTAAACACGTTTTTTATTGTTGACTATATTACAGATGTCCCCCACTTTCCACCCCTCTTGGCTCCCCTCCACCCATTCCCTGCTCCCCCGAAGGCCTTCTATTGTCTGTGTCCATGGGCTATGCATATGTGTATATACAAGTTCTTTGGTTGTTTTTAAAAATAGATATTTTCCTCCTGAATAGCCTTTAAAGAATATACACAAAGTATGCCAAGATAAGGAAATGCCGAACTCCAGAGCTGCCTGGTCCGGTCCCACGATACATGTCTCCATATTACACAGTAACATCCTTGCAGATAACCTGGGGGCATCTATGATACTTCAGATGTTTATTTTTGCTTTTGCAAATTAAATATTGCTTCATTCCTGAAATGCCAAGATTTATGGTGGAAACAACAATAATAATTGCCATTAGTGTGGGTCACTTAAGGATTGTCTTAATCTTCGTGTGTGCTGAGAATATAGTATAATTTCATAAAATCTCTACTAAATTGAATTGTGTGAAAACATTTCCACAGTAAAAGACCAAATCTGGATATTCATGCAGTTTTTTTTTTCTGGACGATGACTGATAATATGAAAGCACCGAGGCAGAAAGGAAAGAGGAAAACCGGAATATTTCCAGGGAAGGAATCACTGAAATGCTTGCTGATGCAGCCCGTCGCTTCATTTGATAACAGTGAAGTCCTCCCTTCCCATGGATGTAAGGAAGGTCAAGTGAGCCGACATTACTATCCCCCAAAATGTTGTTTATTGGCATGCATTAGGAGAAACTTTTCTTTTAATAGGTCATTGCATGAATCATTCTCCTGGCACATGAATCTGCTCATACTTGACATGTTTACCTCGAGGCTGCCTGTGCAGTCATGGACCCAGGGGGCCAACTGAGCAGTAACTACCGGCTCCAGAGGCACGTTCCTCCACCTGGTCAGAAAACACCGGTGCTCCGGAGACTCCACTCCAACCCACAGACGAGTTTCCGGTGTGTGAAAACATCGGGCACCGTCACTCAGGATGTTTGGTCATTTCTAGTCACCTTCCAATAGCTTCTTAGCTAAATGGGTTTCTATTTTACTCCGTGAGATGCTTTGAAAGCGGAATTGTTCACTCTCTCAGTCCATCACTCACACAACAAATGCTCCTGGCCACTCTCACTGTTGAAGGCATTGAGCTGGATGTGACCCCATGGGTGTGGATTTGGGCTCCAAGCAGATTGCCTTCTACAACGGTGTGAAGCAATACAAAACAAAACGATACAATTGCTAACACTACAGAGTAGAAAGGGTTGAGTACAACCATAAGAGAAGAGAAAAGTAGAGATAAAGTGCTAAGAGTGTTTGAAGCACAGAAAAATAGTTTGCAAATGGAAGAGAAATAAGGATCCGCTCAAGGAGAAAAATGTCTGTCCTGAAGTGAGGAGGATCTAATGAAACAAGAGGAGAAATGCTGCTCATTAGCAAAGGCACTCTGTCAGGAGAGAGTAGGATGTGGACAAGGTTAGGGCTAGTTAGGGATCAAGAGGTAGGGTGGGGCCAGGGTCAAGGTAAGAGGAATCCAGGTCTAACTCACCTGCCCACTGTTGGCCAAATCATCCACAGACAGAGTAGGGTCCAGACGCAGGGAAAGCCCAAAGTCACACAGGCAGCAGGTCAGGTCGTTCTTCACGAGGATGTTGGAGCTCTTGAGGTCCCTGTGCACGATGGGCATCTTGGGCCTCCCGCACAGGGTGTGGTCACTGTGCAGGTGAGCTATGCCCCTGGCGAGGGAGCTGCCCAGCTTGCACAGGTCCTCCCAGCTGATGACATGTCTCGTGAGGTACTCCTGTAGGTTTCCCTTGGCATGGAAAGCGGTGATCAGCCAATACTGCTTCCCCAACTCCGTCTTCCGCTCCTCGGCTGTCAGGAACTGGAGGATGTTCTCATGCTTCAGGTTGATATCCGAGAAAATGTCCTTCTCCATCTTCCAGGAGGCGTACTCCTCGTAGGGGAAGATCTTGACCGCCACAGTCTCAAACTGCTCTGAAGTGTTCTGCTTCAGCTTGGCCTTGTAGACCTCGGCAAAGCGACCTTTCCCCACCAGCGTGTCCAGCTCAATGGGCAGCAGCTCTGTGTTGTGGTTGATATTGTTGGCACATGTGGAACTGATGTCGGAACGGTCATCTTCCAAAATGATGGCAAGGTGCTCGCTGAGGTCCATGAGCTTCCGTGGCTTGCTGGTCTCCCAGGACGGGGTCAGCTTCTGCTTCCGGTGGACACGGTAGCAGTAGAAGATGATGATGACAGCTATGGCGATGGCCAGTGGTGGCAGGAGGCTGACGCCCGTCACTTGGAATATGACTAATAGCAAGTCAGGGTTGTTGGTGACATATTCTGATGTGGAAACAAAATCAGGGAGAGAAGGAGTTGGGATGAGTAGGTACGCACTGTGAGAAAATAGGTGTACACCTCAAGTGTCCAGATGTTTCAACATCAGTCTAGTTTTTATAAATAATGTACTGTGAATTTTTGGTGATAGATGCTAGGTGCACCTGTCTAGTCTTCCCTGCCTCTGCCCATTCATTCAATGTCTCCTACTCTTCCCTCAAACTTCAGCTTAAATGCCACTGCCTAAAGGAAATCTAGAAAAACACAGAAAATGTTTTATTTTATATAATCTCATAGCACCCAACATTTTCCCTATGTAACAATTTAGCACAATTTAAATTAAGTAGCTATGACTCTTCTTAGTGGTTTTGTATCTGTGTTTCCCTACTTCCCCCACCCGCAGCAGACTGAGAACTCTGAGCTGGCAGAGACCACGTCTTTCTTTTTCATGACTGTAAACAACACCCAGCACACATCAGGCCCTTGGTCAGTGCTGCCTAAATGGGAAAAGCATTTACTGAGCATCAACTGTACTCAAGGCACTGCAGGAGGCTTTGGGAATACAGAAAGAATGACAACGCCTGCTTCCCAAAACTTGCATATGTGGTAGCTAGTAAAACAAAGAGGCTGCCATAGAGCACCCACAGTCTTGGCTCTTTTCTAAAGTCCAACTTGTCCCGCTCTGATCGATATCCAGGTTACCCTTAAGCATCAGCTCTGGGCCTGGTGGTGGTAGAGAGAGAAATCTGTGGACAGGGTCTCTTTGGAAGTCATTTACCTTATATTCACCCAATATATTCCTCTTTTCTGTGTGCATGTGATTTGTAGTTTCACAGAACAAAAATGCTTATTAGCAGCAAAAGATGAGAGAAGTTAAAGAAGGAAATGCAGCCTGTTTTCTGACCTGGACACCAAAGCAGGGACTGTGGGTTGACATCAGCTATTTGACGACAACACCTCGTATTTCAAACTCTGATTCATGTGCTGGCCATAGCAGGAGCTGGTTAAAGAGTTTTGCTCTTGGGAAGAAAGCCATGGATGGAATCATTGGGCAGGAGACAGTGAGTGGAAGTTTCAGGGAGAGCACTGTTGGGTAAGAATCCCAGAATTCTATTGCTTTAGATGTCTTCCCTCAGAGGTGTCCATTAATTAGCCGGCCTCATGCTCAGATGCTGCATTCACTCATGAAACGCAGAACTATCAAGTTCCTGCTCTGGGTCTGGCACTTCCCTTAAAGAGGTTATAACCCAGTAGAGGAGTTGGGGCATGTACACAAATGCCTAGCAATATATGGCTGTCTGGAGTGGGGGCTCCCTGTGTGCTGCAGTCTATGTGTTGGTGGGAAAGCTTAGGGATTCAGGGACGGCACAGTGGCAAGAACTGCCGTTGAGTTGGGCAATGAAGGATGGGAAAAGTCAATGATGGGTAGAAGAAATGCTATGTTTAGAAGTAAGAATATATGATCTACTTGAGGAAGAGCAGTCCTCCCAAATGGCCTACTCTGCACAAGGGAACAGAAAGGAAAATGATGGGTAGGTGGTGGGGAAAGAGACATATCAGAGACAGGATCTGTAATTATTCACTTGGCAGGTTTCACCTGCTGTAGGTGTTTGGGGAGGGGAGAAGTGATAAGAATACAGTCCAGGTGGAAGACAGATAACTATAATCTCCTCAAGGGAACTCATTGTTTCACTGTATTTGATACCATCACTTCATGAGGCACAATGAGAAAAGAAGCTAGTACCACATCAATCTGGAGTTTTTAGGTTTAATATGATTCACGACCTGTTCTGGTAAATTCTAAGTGGAAACACCAACTTCCACTAAGATGGAACCTCAGGTTCCATCTAGATACCACTAAAAACTAGAAAAGTAACCCCAAAACATATTTTCAGCAACCAAGAGGGAAAAAAATTGGTGTTTTGAGGTAAAGATACATTAATGTATTAAAATGAATAGGAAAAAAGATACAATGTGACTCTTGAAAACCTGAATTCTTACTCACGCTGGGAGGCGCACATGGGACAAAGGGCAGGTAGGACGAGAAGTGCATGTGGCAGTGGACAAAGCAAAGACAGGAAGGCATTGTGGAGGCATGTGGACTGTCCCGGGGCCTGGCAGAGTATGAGCATGGAGAGCAGAATGAAGGGGACAGATAAGATGGTGTTCAGGTGCAACAGCTGGAAACATGCCCTCCCTGTAACTCCACCTCTGTCATCTGAAGTGTCTCATGAACTGTTTCAAGTACCCACCTGTCTGCAACGACAGAGACGTCTTACCATCATAAATCGCTCTGATTCCGTGATTGCTCGTCTCTCCTGTGAGGATATGTTCTGCTCAGGTACCAGCCAGGTCTGACTGATCATCGTAACGTACCCAGAACCAGTCTCAGGATGGGGCACTATCTGGCACTCGGCAAATGTTTGTTGTCAAAGCCGAATGAATGCTCACTTATGGGGGACAACAGCCCTCACAGGTTTTATGCTCTGCAGCAGGACTTGGCAAACTATAGCCCAAGGGCCCATGGCCTATTTTTGTACAGCCCTGAGAGGAAAGAATTTTTTTCTTCACCTTTAAAAGGTCATTAAATAAATAAAAGGAAAAGAATAAAGAAAAAAACTTCACTGATAGGGAAATGCAAATCCAAACCACGATGAGATATCACCACACACCTGTCAGAATGACTACTGAAAAGACAAGAAATAACTAGTGCTGGAGCTAATACAGAGAAGAGGGAGCCCTCAGCACTGTCATAGAAATGGACACTGTCACAGGATGACAGCAAATACTATGGAGGTTCCTCAGAGAATTAAGAAGACAGCTACCATAGGACCCAGCAATTCCTCTTCTGGGTATTTATCCTAAGATATGAAAATACTATTTTGAAAAAAATATATGTACTCTATGTTCATTGCAGCATTATTGACAGTATCCAAGATACTAAAACAACCTGTGTCCATCAATGATGACTGGACAGAGAAAATGTGGCATACACTACAGTGACACACGACTCAGCCGAGGAGAGACGAATCATTGCCGTTTGTAGCAACATGGAAGGATGTTGAGTGTATTGTGCTAAGTGAAATAAGTCCGGTGGCAAAGGACAAAAAAGCACGTTTCACTAATTTGTGGAATATAAAACAAAAAAAGGAACCAACAGAAAAACAAAAGCAAACTCATAGATACAGACAACAGAATAAGTTTTGAGAAAGAAGAAACTAAGAAGTTCATGTAACAGAGCTCATATCTGGCTCAGACAGCCTAAAATATTTACTACCTCCCCCTTTGCAAAAAAAAAAAAAAAAAAGGTTGCTGACTACTCTTCTATAGGTATTGTTTTAATAACCTGTAATATACTGGCAGAATTTGAGGAGACTTTATTTTGATGCATTGTGAATATTCTCTCACATATGAGAAATCAACACAATTTAAAATATTTAGATACTCATCACAGAATTACTTAGTGTCTCCAATTCATTACAGAGTTCAAAACGTCCAAACGAACTACTCCTCTATCCCTCCTAATCGAATTTGATGCTTCCTGGCCATATATCAGAAGGGCCTCCCCTCGCAAAATCCTACTCTTTTTAGGCAAAGAGAACCAGAGAAACAGAAACCCCTGAAATGTAAGTGGCCACTGATTGACGAAGTCTCTACAAATACCCCCACTTCCAATGGCAGAAACCAGAGTTTTACTTTCCCCTCTAGTTTCCTGTGTTTTCTTTGAGAAAACCTACTGTAAATATCTCGCGGGGGAGGAATTATTGAATAACATCTGTCAATCCTGAAACTTCAAAGAGGTGGTGAAAAACCCTCACAATGGCAAAGAGGCAGAAAGGAAGCCCTGGGATGTGGCTTCATCTGAAGGGGAGCCACCCACACCCTCTCAGTATTAACCCCTAGGCTGCCGCTAAGAACTCCGCCAGCTGTGGGTGTGGGCACAAGCCAGCATCTGCTACACTCGGAGCCAGGCAGGAAGTGTTTCTTCCCGCCAGCCCCCAATTACACAAAAACTCATAAATCAGATTCTTAGTATGAACCTGGCTATGAACTAAGAGTTTTACATAATATTTACACTTAATCAGAAAAACCCTAGGAGGTAGAAACAGCTATTATTAGAAACCCCATTTTATAGATGGGGGGCCTGAAAGGATCAGATGGTTTCAATAATTTGCCAGTTTCCTAAAGTTAGGCAAGGGCAAAGCTGGCATTGGAGAAGAGTCTGTCTGATGGGTGAGACCCCTGCTCTTAACCCATCACACGTGTGACTTCATGGAACCTCTCAATGTGATAAAAGTGGTTTTCTCCATTGGGGGCTGGACTAGGGGAGTTTATACCCATCCAATAAGTGATATCAGCAAGTCTTAGACAAGGAGTCTTATGGGGATATTCTGGGTGTGCAGCTTATTTCTTAACCAAGAACCACAGTTGAGTGGTGTCCCTGCAAATATGCAGCCTTTCCCTGCACAGGAAGAAAAAGTCTTACATGAGGAAGTACCCTAAAAACGTTCTCTCTCTTTTCTCAAAGCCTATCTCAGGCCCCAGATAGAACATAGAGGGGATCAAGATATCATTGCTGAACCATTGGAACCCTCCATAAATTGTTTCTTGGATGCGTAGCCAACCAGTGCTCCACACCTGACATTCACCTTCCAGTCCTTTGTTACGTAACATGATTTCCCCAGGGTTAGCACAAATGAGTCTCTACACTGTAATGGCAGAATCCCTCCGCCTAAACTCCACGGATGGAATTCAGTGCCTCTGTGATTTAAATGGGCAAAGTTTGCATCTTTAATGTCCTCTAAACCTTAGCTAAAATGTAACTTTCCTCGTCTTAGCCATCCTTATGACTTTGTCACCAACAGAAACCAGAGATATTTTCATGCCACTTTACATTTATTGCCGATGTCTTGACGTATCACTTATACTGATCACTTAGACATTTCCATTTTTTGGACCTGATCTAGATCTTGTCATTTACAACATTACCATAGAAACAGATATTA